CTGGCTAGCTATCCCTACTATTAACTACGCAGTATTGTTACTGCACCGCACTAACCGCGTAGCTAGCGAGCATCCGTAAGTGGTAGAAGACAAAAACTAGGCAAGATCAGTTATTGAGGAATTCAGGTGCAACCGGAGTACAGAAAGGAGAAATCAGATAGGCACCGAATTCCCACACACAGTAGTTGCACGGCAAGGTCTCCTGTCAGTTACAAGTACTGGGGACGAACAGCGCATACAGTTGCACTCAGACAATCCCAGCGCTCAGACAGTCACATGTTTGCACGGGTACTCCACTAACGATCCAGTCATGTGCCGCCTCTGTCCTGAATTCCAGCCAAGTCTTTCACGTACTCCCTGCGGCTGTGCGATAACATTGAGTGTCTGGTTTTCAAGCTCCCGGCACAGTAAAAACCCGTCTATACCAATCACGTGCGTTGGTGGACACGTTGTGTACCAGCTAGCCTACTTGGAAAGACAGTCAAGCCTGGTTTAGACGGTTGCAGCCTTCAAGCTTTGGACCGTTCCGTTTGTCATTCTGGTACGTGGCTGGCTGCTTGTGTTGTCCTCTGGATGCAGTGGAACAGATTTCGTCAACAACTGGCCTCACCCACAGTTATCCTACGCGATCCGGGCTAAGTTAGGAATCATAGTGTACTAGACGGAGGCTGACCGAAGTAGTTCTGAACTGGGTACAACGAGTTCATTCTTCCACGGAACTGACAGACACAGATACAGGACGGTGGTTCTGCTACGATTACGGAGGATGTTCATACAATGTCAGCCGTGATTGCACAGTCGTAACTTTAACCACAACCATGTGCGAAGAATTTATAATGTTGAGACAATTAAGAGTTCCTTCACAAAACAAGCTGAATGGTACCAGATTCTTACTTAGATTGACTCCGGTATCCTTACTTAGTTTAAATATCATGAAATAATGATTTTCTGCTTTTAATACTACATCAGTGAAATTTCGGTTAGCTGAGTTTCTGTTTTTAGATATTCTGTAGCGCTGTTTGCCATGCATTTTTTCTTTGTCAAATTGTTCCGAGATCACGCTTGTTTCACTTTGCACACTTTCGACACCACAAAATGCATCCTGTTTGGTATTCATTGACTAACTCTCCTGTTGCGTATCTCGTCGGTCCGTTAAAAGCGGAGAGCGTGAATGCCAGTCTCGACTAAGTATTTTAGTAGGCTGAACTACACAACGAACAACTGCCTGTGTCAAGCGAACAAGAAAAAACAACATTTCGACAGGATAATCTGAATCCAGCTATTTCGCTTTTTTGTCAGCTGTTTACATTTGCTTAGCGGATTGGATAAATTGCACACAGAGATCATCAGGACGTAATATACACCACGTGCATTTATATAGCCGCCATATGAATGACACTTCCATCCTTATACACACTGCCGAGCAAGCAGAACAACTACTGTTGGCGCTAAGCAACTGTTACCCCGCAATCGAATTTACAGTTGAGAACGAATCTTACAATGTCTTAAAATTTTAGAAGTTCGCTTAAAAGAAATCTGAATGGTAAACTACCCTATGTTTGACATTTATTGTTCTATAAGATACCAAAGAACTCCGGTTCGTACCATCTTTATGATAGCTATCTAGCTATGCTCGGAGGAAGCGATAGCATGTGGGTTGCAACGCTTCTCCTCTACAGCACGCGAAAATGGACGTGCGGATATGTTCCTAGCAAAGTACTCAAACGGGAACGCGAAGTCCGAGAACGAACGGGTGACCCACGCCCCTAAGCAAAAAGTGTTCATAACGATGCAATTCAAAGGAGACTACAATAGCAGGAGATTCAGATATCGCCTCAGTCAATCGCTAATATAGGTAGTACGCTGTTAAGCATGTGGTTTGGCACCAAGTTAAAAAGTTGCCGTTTAAATCCACACTGGACATGAGAGACACTTGCGCTTCACCATAGGCGCTGCCTGCGTATTGTGCTGTTACAAGCAGTGTAAATGCATTGTAAGCATGTGTTATAATAATTATATGAATAATAGTGGAGGACATTAATATTAATAATAAGTATATTTCCCGATTGCACAAGAGGCTATCCATGGATTGTGGGCAGATCATGGGTAAAATAATTATCATTCTCATGCACAGCGCGGATGAGTTGCAGCACATGACTCGTGCTCTGCCTTTGACAGCGGTCAAATTCGGGCTCACTATCAACACATGCAAAACTCTGTCTCTTTCAGCTTTCACCGGAGGTACAATCTTAAATATTGTCGCGAATCAGCATTGGTGTTGAAGTATTTGAAACCACCTCCCGCTTCTGCTACCTTGGGGCTGGGAGGTCGACTGATCAGCAGCTACACAGTGAGCTGCGTATCCGCGTGTCGAAGGCAGCGGCGGCATTCTGGAAGCTTGAGTACCGAGTGTGCAACAACCATCAGCTTACCATTGACACAAAGCTGATGGTGTACAAATCCATGGTGCTATCAGTTTTTCTTTACGGCAGTGAAACGTAGACGATGTACTGGCGGGATGTGCAATATCTCAAGCGGTTCCAACAGCAGCGTTCCTAACGAATTTTGCGCATCGGTTTGGGAGATAGAGCTTCAGACACGAAACTGTTGCGACAAAGTGGGATGTATGCAGTGGACTGCATACTTTTGCTGAGACATCTGAGGTGGCTCGGTCTTGTGAGCCGTAGGGATTCGACGCTGATACCGAAACAACTCTTATATGGTCAGCTGAGTATTGGGAAGCGGCATGCTGGGAAAGCAAAGTTACGTTACCAGGACATGATCAAAGTGAGCCGCACACTTTCTAATCTCGATTGCAGGTCATGGGAATCGAAAGCGGTTGATCGGTGCGTATGGCGCGATCTCATCACGAAGGCGGTTGCAGAAGTGCGGTATAAAGACCTCATGCATGCAGAGAAGAAGCGGCAAGTACGGAAGCGGCAAGCACCGATGAATTGTACTCCATCGACATCAAGCGTATGGTGCTGTAGCACATGCGGTCGCGAGTGCCTGAGTCAGGCAGGCCTAGTGAGCCATGAGCGAGTCCACTCGGGACCACCACCGAAGCGACGACGGGTCCTGCAGAGAAGGTAGGCAGAACCGGCGCAGCGTTTGTAGGTACGCTGCATTCGATTTACTAACCGCGTGGTTGCATGCTAAGTCCCTTTATTTCAGGTAGTGGGTTTGCAATGTTATCATATAAGTGTCTACCAGTACTCCCTTCTCTAAACTTGCACACGTCGCTGAAGGTAATTGTAGTTTATTTCGATAACATTTTCGTGTTTGTGGCATTTCCGTAAAATATATTTTCTGATCTAGTGAACTTATTTTGGATTCTTTTGTAAACAACTTATTTCATATGCTCATTAATTTAAGCTTTATGTCACCGTTTTCTCATGCATTACTCGATTTATTTTCTTTGTTATCTTTCTTTCAATTGATTGGCTGTTGCTTGATATTCCCGGTGTGGCTGCGCTTGATGCGCATGTTGACAAGGTGCCTACCTGTCTATTACCCACCACTTCGTCCATACTGGCTCTAGGAGACAGTTGGTCGTTGCTGGAGGGGACGGGGTGCACGGTCCTTGTGGTCGTGCTAGGCTCGGAGAGTGGTTCCGTGCACTCAGTGTGGAGCGGACTACGGTCCAGCCACCGCCTTGTGTGCGCTTGATTCCCCAAATACAGCGTGCTTGTTTTTGCCTGTGAAGGAGTGTGTGCCGGCTCCGTTGATGAAACGTGGCTCCCATCCACATGCCTCGCGGTCTTATTCGTTTCGGGTTTACACTGGATATGGGGTGTGTGGATGGAGCTGTGGGTGGTGCAGCGCAAGCCACCCATGGTCCCTCTGTAGGCGCAGGCGTCCTGTGGCTGGCCACAGTGACAGGCAAATCCGAAACCGCATGCCGCCAACGATGATATCCAACTAATTTGGAATCACGTAACTTTTGTTATTGCTGAATTCTTTATATAATCTTTAATCATTGATTATATATTCCTTGGTCCATCCTGAAAGAACTCGTGTGGTGATTTACCCGATGGAAACATAGTCATTATCGAGTTCTGGTCCACGAATTTGCTAAGCTGAATGTGGAATGCTTTTGCATTTGTGCAAGACTTGATTGTTGCTGGTAGGCTATTCCACACAACAGCGTATCTGACGAGGAAGATGTTGGATCGGATAGCTATCCTGGTTCTCAGTACACGTAATGTACAGGTCTTGTTGCTTATATTCCGAGTGAAGTTATGT